TGTTAAATGTGTCTGCCTCTAATAGAGGTTCATCTTCTTGATTTTCTAACTGAGTTCAAAATGTTAAATAACAACTGAATTAGGAAACAAGCAATGTGATTGCTGCTCAAAAATATTCTCTACTCATTTTATTCAAAAATTAATACTTCATACCTTGGTAATTATTTTAACTTATCATTAGGGGGAAGTTGTATCACTATTTATTTTTGAGCTTAAATTATTTGGCGTTAGATGAAATTAAGGGAGATCCTGTGTCTTCATTGCGTTTTTTGAAATGTCTGTATCTGCCTATCTGGTGAGGGAAGGAATTTAACAATTATCCTGATTCCCGCATATCTTGTGGTTGCCAAATTCAACATAAAAACAGATTGGATAATAATTTTTTTTGAGAATTGAGCTTAATAGTTGTCGCACTACACCATTTCCACTTGTAATTTAAACATTATACATAATTTGTAAACTGGAATAGGTATTTTATTTTTGGAGAGTAAAACTTTAATTTTGGAATTGAAACTTGAAATTGGGAAACTGTTAAATAACAATTGGAAATTAAATTTGAATTTTGGAAAATATAAAATGAAAATTATAATGGTTATTTGAATTTAGGAAAAAGTAATTTGAAATTTCGAATTGTAATTCGATTTTTAGAAAACGTGAAGCTAATTTTGAAAAAATAAAAATTTTATTATGAAAAACAACACTACCTATGTACTAATTTGAGAAAAGATAAAATATTATTTGAATAAATGGAAAAATGACCTACTCAACTGACTTCATATTTTGGGGGTTTCAAAAATCAATTTTTATTTTTCAAATTACATTTTACCTTGTCTAAAATACATTTGCCGATTTCCAAAATATATTTGACTCTTACCATTTAATAGTTTTATTTTCCAAAATTGAAAATACCATTCCAAATTTAATTTTCTGTTTTCCAAAATTAAAATAACTATTACAAATTTGGAATAATATCTTCCAAAATTCATTTTACACAATTCCAGAATTAACTTTTTATAGAGTCCGTCCATAAACTACAGTGGCGCCCTCTTTCGACAGCAACGTAAGTTCTTGTATTATGTCAAGTGCTTGATTCCATTTACACAAATGTAATTTTTCTTATAAAAAACGATTTCAAAGCGAAATATATTTCATTATAAAGGTATGGTTGTTTACATGAAACAATTATATTTAATTACACTTTTTTTCTTGTAATTTTTATTTGCCAAACACTTTTTATTATCATTAATTCAGGCTATTGTGCATACCCACTACTTGTCATGCCAGGTTGCCAGGAACAGTTTCACAAATTGTTGTGTTGTTAACTGTGGCAATAATTATGCCAACACAAGTTAGTCTGTGACACGACCGCGCCCGAAATATCTTCCAACAAATTATTAACAAACTGAAAAAAACGTAACACTACCCCCATCGAGTTATGCCCTAAGTAGGGTATCAGATTAAAGGTCTCGATGTCCTCTATTTAAAAAGTCGATCCTGCCTCGTGAGAACTTGCCGGAAAAAGGTGGCAGGGCAGCTTATTGGGGCAAAGACTCGGGGTCTCAGAACTCTCAGCTTTGACACCTATCAAGTTTTGCACTGAATGATGTGTCAAATTAAAGTTGTCAATAAGTTGATTTAAGGTCTGTTCGCACAGAAATCACAAACCAGTCGCGGCGAATTTTATTGGTTGGAAACAGTCGGGAAACTAGTTTCAACCATTGAAATTCACTCCTTCTGGTTTGGGATTTCTGTGCGAAGAGACCTTAAATCAACTTCGACACCTTTAATTTGACACATCATTCAAGGCAAAACTTGATAAGTGTCAAAGTTGAGACCGCGGGCCCTTGCCCCAATGAGCTGCCTTGCCACCTTTTTCCAGCAAGTTCTCACGAGGCAAGATCGACTTTTTAAATAGAGGACATCGAGACCTTTAATCTGATACCCTACTTAGGGCATAACTCGATGGGGTTAGTGTTACGTTTTTTTCAATTTGTTAAAAGATATTTCTGGCAGCATTTGCTCTCAGGCAGAAATACCGGTTAATAGATGCACATAATACTATATATTGATAATAGTGTCGACACATAACTCGATCGGGGTAGAAAAAATGCGGTCGTCTCCTTAACTGGACTGGGGTAACAAAAACCTTGTACAGTTCAACGCGCAGAAAACCCAAGCAGCTCTGTTTTCAAAAAAGACCAGCACCGGTGAGCCAAACATCATGCTATCTGGAAGTGCTGTCACATTACAGAGTCAGTTGAACATCTTGGGGGTTATTGCAGAGACCAACATGTCTTGGCACAGTCACGTGGCAGATATTGCTAAAAGGGCCTCCCAAAATCTGGGGGTGCTATTTCGTACAAGACATCTGTACACACCAAGCCAATTGCTGACACTCTACAAAGCCCAGATTCGACCAACTATGGAGTACTGCTCACATATATGGAGTGCAGCACCCAAACATACCTTAATGCTTTTGAATACCGTGCAAAAACGAGCTATCAAGCTGATCAATGACCCCGCACTTACTCGTAACTTGGATGGTCTCGAACATCGCAGATCTGTGGGCGATTTATCTCTCTTCTACAGGTACTATCACGGAAAATGCTCTGAAGAGTTGGCACGTATGATTCCACCGAGAGTAGCACCTACCAGGCGAACCCGTCAAACAGACGGTAACCATGAATTTACTGTCAAACTAGAGGCACCAAGTACCTCATTATATCAGAATTCATATCTCTGGAGAACAGCATCGCTGTGGAATAAACTCCCTGCGACGGTTTTCCCTGCAGGTTACAACCTGAACCGTTTCAAGACCAACATACACCGACATTTCCGCACACTTGCCGCTTCTCGAGCGTGATAGGACATTTCCTTGCGAGTGCGCATATCCGTAAAAAAAAAAAAAAAAAACTAAGTGGAAATGTTCACTTCTACAGTTTTCCTAGTCGGCCCCATGATCAGGAAAGACTTGAAAAATGGATTAAAGCTGTCGGAAGAAATGTAAGTTCCTACTTCTATCAACATTAACCTTCACACCTATTCATAGGAACTACACACTGAGTTTTCATATTGATTTGGTTACTTTACTCTTTATCGTTTTAAGATTCAATTTATAAAGTAGTAAAATGTGGGAGCCAGAAAGACAGTCGAGGATTTGTAGCGTCCATTTTATTGTTATACCTACCAGCTGTAGCTCAACAACATAAGGAGAGCTGTTTATGGAGGTTTGGCTCATAATATGCCCTTTCAAAATGGATAAGTCCCCTCCAACTTTTCGTTCAACTACTTGCAATACATGTTCAGCTTTCACTAGAGCCTCGACTATAGAACCACACCTTTTTTCTATGCAGCTTCGTGGTGAATGAATTTTATATTTTGGAAACCAAAATGTATTTCCAGTTCTATTTTTCGAAATTCTAGTGAAAATTTGACAAAATATTAATACAAAAACTATTGACATCTCTCACTAGGGGTCGCGGATTTAAATTTGTGACCGGTCCCTATTGTCCAAATAACAACTAGAAATGGTGTAGTAGTCAATGTCGATTTTTATTTATCAAAATATAGTAAGGAGAATAAAAGTTAATTTAACATAAAATTAATGTTTTCAAATTTTGTGTCCGCTCCTAACTCATTCAATAGGTATTGTAAGTATTTCGGATTAATTAGACTAGACCTTTGTTGGTGGCTACATTGCCTGAACAAATGTGCTTTAGGTGTACCCTAGTATTATGGTCTTCGTGTAAAAAAAATAATTTTCTTTTTTTTTTCTTTTTCACTCACCACCTTATGGATATGTAAAATTTTAACATTTTTGCTAGATTCTCTCTATTCTCAGACAGTGAACCAATGCTGATGAAAGTTTGAAATAATAGTTTTTTCAAGTAAATGAACCACTTGAACAAAAAACGCCCAGACACATCGATTTTGTTTTATTTGCCTATGGTGTTCAAAATTACTCAGTATCAAAGGATGGGTTTCAAAAATGCTCAAAATCGGGCGAAATTATTGTTCTAAATGATACTTTGAGTTCTTTTGAATACTGCTACAAATTTCTCTTCAAGATGCATTGATGCAGAAGAAAATCAGTATGTCCTTCCTATTTGCAGATTCCAAATAAACAGCCATTAATATCTGACCTATCTTGGAATATTCCGTTTTTCTGAATAATCTTTAACAATTTTTCCACGCACCTCTGTTCAAGGAATCGTTAATTGTTATTCCTATTGTTCAAAGAAGCACTTTTATGAAATATGAAATGCTCTAACCTATCTCTGAACTACTAATTTTTAAAACCTTGGCGTAATTATTTATTCTATTTTCAAATTTTTTGAGAATTTGTTTGTAGTGTTTCCATTCTGTAGGTTTCCTTTTTTGGTCTTGGGTTGGTTTCTGGTTGAATAGACACAAGTCATTCAAACATTTTGTTCTATTTTGCTTACGCGCTCCTCCGTTGGAAAAAAATCATTCTCCTAACTAATATACTTCGCTAATCTTGCTCAAAGTCCTCTTCGTACCCGCTCAAGTATCAGTTTTCACATTAGTTAGAAAATAACGATTTTGCTTCCCTGTAAAATTTTGATGCAGTTTCAGTTACACGGAAAATCCAAATTAGCCTGACGGTTTTCTTTTTTTCGAAGCATAACGAATTATTAATTTCAATATAACCACCAGCTAAGGGAGGCGGACTTTGAAATTTGGCCTTATTTTTTAGCTAGGCTGCTTTTTAATCAGGAGATTTAGGTTGGATCGTTAAGTTAATTAAATTCAGCTAGAACCTGTGGTAATGCTTGAAAGTCATTTCTTGGTCCAGAGGCTTAACTGAAAAAGCAAATTAACACAGTTTACTATTTGTACTTTCCACCGGGATTTGAATTTACTTTTACGACCATATTTTATGTACAATGGAATACGTTGTGTACAATTTTTTGTGATATTAATTTAATTTATATTGTGTGGGCGGTTTTTTTATATGTATGTTTTTCTTTTTTTTGCAGGCTTTATAAACACAAATGCTTTCCCTTCACTACAGATACATGGTAAGTATTGCTTTATTTTACTTATTATATTTATGCGCTGGTAACACTTTATTATTATTCTTGGAAATTTAATTTCATTTTTATAACAAGGACTCACAGGTTCCTATAGCTCAAACCCCTTTTAACTTTTTATCTATGATCAGACTAATCCACATCAGACTTATTTGTTCAATAATTATCGCCTTTCAATTTTACTTCGAATTCTTTTGTGAACGGTAGAATCATTTAAAATTTAAAACAAAAAAATAAAAACCAAACAAAAATTGAAATTCTAATTTCATGGAATCGTTGTTTCTTTGTTACGCCCCATATTATGTTGTCGCTAGATTTGAAATTCAAATTGCTTTGGTCATATTTAAATGTTGTTTTTATGTCGGTGGCGTACTTACCACCATGATTTTGAGTTGCATTTAATCCTGGAAAATATGTACTAAGGTCATATTTGTACCTAAACTCGCCTACCTCTATCCCTTGAGGCTTTCTCAAATATAAAAAGGACCCCGCACTAATCTTATGGAAAATGGCTTTCGGTGAAATTCTCTGAAATTTGGATATGTTGTGCAATATCATCAATCAAAAAATCCAACGAGCCACATTCGAGGTGTAAAAATGTTTGGTTCTATCCAATGCTTGAGTCTGGTCGAAACGATTGACATGGTCTGTTTGCGTTAGCACGTGTTCGGCGATTGCTGATCTATCTATTTGTCCCAGCTGACAGTTTCTTTTATGCTCTTTGACCCTGGTGTTGATAGAGCGTTTGGTTGTTCCTACATAGACAGATCCACAAGAGAAGGGAATTCTGTAGGCACCAGCCGTTTCAAGAGGTGCCCTAGGATCCTTGGCCGATTTTAGACTTTGCTGAAATGTTCTCGTAGGCTTGTAGATAGGCCTAATGTTGTGTCTTTCTAGCGTTTGTCCTATGCGATCTGTGACATTTTTGAAGTAGGGAAGAAAGGCTCTCCCTGCCACCTGTGCTGGTTCCTTGTTATTTGTGCGCTGTTGCTTTGGTCTTATAGCTCTATTTATCTCCTGCTTGGAGTACCCATTTCCTTCAAGTACTGATTTTAAGTGTTGCATCTCGTCCTGAAGGTATCTGGGTTCACAAATCCGGGTTGCCCTTCAGATAGAGTTTTAATGACTCCTCTTTTTTGCCTAGAATGGTGATTGGATTCCCTGTTGAGGTATCGGTCCATATGCGTCGGCTTCCTATATACTCTGTGTCCCAGTTTACCTAAGGGTAATCTTTCTAAGAGGACGTCGAGGAATGCAATTTTGTTGTTCTTCTCAACTTCCATCGTAAACTGTATCCTGGGTTCTATTGAGTTTAGATGATTAAGGAAGTTTTCGAGCTCTGCCTCTCCATGGTTCCAAACAACAAATGTATCATCTACATAGCGAAACCAACAAGTAGGTTTCTTTGTGGCCGTTGGCAGTGCCATTTGTTCGAAGTGTTCCATGTAGAAGTTGGCGATAACCGGGCTGAGTAGACTTCCCGTTGCGACTCCATCTGTCTGCTCAAAGAATTCATATTGCCATTTTTTGAAAGTACGTAGTCGTCAGACAGTGTTGAGATAAGTTGTTGATTTCCTCCGGAAAACATCTTTCAGATACTCTTAGGCCTGCGGTCTTAGGCGGATGACAGCGAAATTGGTTTCCTCAAAGATACTGTTTGTTTCGCAGGTCCTTCTTGAGCAGCGCTGTTTCTAAACACCTCAGGTGGCCTCTGTAGGTTGTCCAGGCTTAGCATCCTTAAAAAACCGTTGGTATGACGATAGCATTGAAGACTGCGAGCTTAGTGTGGTCACTTTTGTCGTGGTCGTCAAACACCCTATTCAAGGGACGTCCAAAAGCTGCGCTGGCGCACTTTAGTCGGTGTTGAATTTCCGCGTCGATGTTTGCTTTGTGGAAAGATTACTAGTGAGGTCTGGAAAATATTCTATATTTTTTAGAGGTGCTCCATTGATAATAATTACAGCTGGATCTGGTTCATTCGTATTTGGGGCAGGCTGGTATGAATTTTTGTCTTTTCTGTGTTGAGTTCTAGACGGATCCCTTCGTATGCTTGCTGAAATGTACTCATGATCGGGTCCTTCCTGATATTTGCCAAGACACCGTTATCATCAGTATATTGAAACTCACAAAGAGTTATTAGGTATGGATACGTTCTCCTTGGCTTGAAGTCTGCTTAGATTGAATAGCTAACCATCAGCTCTATAGGCGATTTGAACGCCCAACGGCAGGTTTTCTTTGAGTACGGCTTCTACAATTATAGAGAATAGCTGCCCGCAATGGCAATGGCAAATTTTTGCTCGATTCTGGTTGTGATTTGAAGGTTTCTCCGGGTCAGTTGTTAGCATAGATTTATTATCCTACTACTAGTTCCCAGAGTTCTTGGTCCAGATTTGCAGGTACAATAATACCCTGAAATTGGCTCATTACGAAAGCGAGAAAATACGCGAATTCTTGAAAACCCAGTTTTGTTTACTCAATTGTCTTGCTCAGAAGAGTTCTGTTCTGTACATCATGATGCATAATGGCGTCTTGTACGAAGCAAGAGATACGTGATAAATAGGTACCAACAGTTAAGTTTCGCAGATCGTTTACTAGAGTAAGACGAGGAAAATTAGGAAATTGGTTCGGATTTAACTGAACCCATCTACCGTGTCTGGCTCTTAGACTTTCTGCTTCTACTCTCGACTAATGTTCTCGCATAATATCTATTTAGATAAACCAGATGTGCCATTAAGATAGTATTAGTCATTCATTAAAAACTTAAAAGTTGATTTGAAATGTCCATTTCGTGCTCAACTATATCCACCTGGTTTTTGCCACTAAACGTGATTGTTTTGCTTCTTCGGTAGTATCTTAGTTCAAATTATCCCCGATTCAGAGGTATTGGCATTTTGTAGACAAATGCCTATACGCCTTGAAGCAGTGGACCAGCATCTCGATTTTTTCGGTCTTCTATGAAAATGTCGCCCTCTTGAATCCATTGCCTCATACCATCTATGTTCCTTCCAAATTCGCGTTGTAACATTGCAACATCATTGTTACGTTAGTCAGAGAAATACGGCCCTTGTATGTGAAGCATATAGGTATACCTATACCCGTTGGTAGCTACAACCAATTCGGGTTTTATCAAATGTTGGCCTTATGTCTATGCCTGCAATGGAGGTAGCGAAGAACGTGGAAATTACTGTTTTTATTTATGTACGAATACGTGCCGTCAATAGGTCTAATCTCACAAGAGTCTCTGACAGTTTGCAACCTGTTAGAAAGCATCGCCCATATATGTTTTCAATTCCGTCGTTCCAAGATAAATCGGTAACTTATCTGGGCAATTATTTCTGACAATTTGCAAAGGCGTTCATGAATATCATTTCTACATTTTTATAAAGTGACAAAAAATTGAAGTGTGTGCATCTGATATCTTTTAAACTTAACATAACTCAAAAATGGCTCGTTGGATTTTTTTGTGCCAATGATTACTTTTGTTTAGAATGTCCAGGAGCACAACATATCCAAATTTCAGACAATTTCACCAAAAGCCATTTTCCATAAGATTAATGCCTCATGCCTTCAGAATTTCTCCTAGTTAAAAAAAAAAGCATGTGCAGCGCCGTACACATAATACAAGTGAAACGTCTATCGCTTCGTATTGAGTGTATACGGTCGCTCTCTCTTGTTCCATTCCCGTGGCATCAAAGTTGTACCGTACCGCGCATATACGCGTCTCACTCTCTAATCTATTCAGTAAATACGTTGCTCTATCTCTTGCTTGTACAATGCTTCCTAAACTATTCCCCCTTCGAGCAACTGACACTTTGGACTTGAGCGCATGAGGGGATCACCCCATTTGTGCTAATGTTCATTTGCTCTACCCACCCGAAGTCGCCTTCGGGCGGGAACGTCGGACGAGCCGAAGTCCGACCGGAGTATGACCCTCATCGAAACGAATGCAGTTGTTGTAGCGCAAATGGGTACAGCGTTGCCGTTCCCTCTCCATCTGGCGGGTATTTAAAATAGAAAATAGAATTCTATTTCGATATTTTTCAAGTATTGAGTGGGTGTGGTGTTTTGTTTACTTTAAAAATGGAAAATTTTAACTTTTAATATTTTATTGGTTAAATATTAATTTATTTTAACCTTCCATCGCGAGTTTTATAACATCATTAGTCACGCTGTATCACAGAGATACATATACTAAATCATTGATAAAAAAATTGAACCATCTGATGAATTTCGGTTTTACAATTTCTATGTATTGATTCGGGTACTCAACTGTGTGCAGAAGCTAGTTTCTGGATAGGAATTAGCAAATAAGCTATCCAAGTGCTCCTAAATAGTCGAAGAAGAACAGTCATTCAGATTTTTTTCATTACCAGGAATCACCTTTTCTACATTTAAAATCGATGAAGAAACAAGCACAACCTGAATCGCAAGCATCCCATCGAGGCTTGCGGGTGACGTCACCACTATAAGAGGCTATGCTGCTAATAGTACTAACGTCACTCGCAGGCCTTGCCGACTCGAGAATTGGCGAACGTACGCCTTATAAGGAAAAGCAATCCTATAGTTTATGATTCTTGCTATGCAAGTGTTTCCAAATAGTCAAAGAAAATTTGATCAGTTAATCATTAAACTAAATAGAGATTTTTTCTCATTATTAGGAAATGGAAATTGTTGGCTTCACGTTTAACTAGTTGGTGGTTAAAAGCTAAATTTTTTCTGGATAGGACTTAGGTGCTCAAGTGCTCCTAAATAGTCAAAGAAAAACATGAATTAGTTATATTATTTGAATTATAGATTTTTTTTGTATTATTATAGGGAACTGAACTACTGGCCTTACGTTTACTTGGGGGTGTAAATATTTGCAGCGAAACTGATAACACTGATAACAGTGGCTATAATGTTGTAATAATTGGAATTAGGTGCTATCTTAGTGCTCCTGAATAGTCGAAGAAAAACTTGAACTATCTAAAACTTCAACTTTTTGGGAG